CGTTTTCACATGCACCAATCTAGGAGTATGGGAATGATTTGTGGAGCATTCCATGATAGAAATCTTGGGAGTAAATTGAAGTCACCCCGTTCATGCCTAGAGAAAAATTGAGAGTCGTGTATATGATGTTAACACCATATATGAAGTTTGGGGGCATATCTTTAAGATTCTTGGGGCACCAAAGAGTAGGGTCTAAAATTTGATTGACCCAGGGGCATTGACCTTTAACGCATTCTGATGCGAACTAAGAAGAAATTCTTACAACCACCATAAAACCTTATAGTACTAGCATTGTCCTATTTGAATGTGTTTTTGTTCTTTCTTTGTTTTCTTAAATACTTTATAAATAGTTTGATGCTTGAAATTATGTAATCTTTTCTAAGGTTATGTGCAATTAATCAAGCTTTAATCTTGTAGTTCTTTTAATTCAAATGAATTAAAAGTTCTTTTACTTATTCATGAATTATAGATCTTTGACAAGTGCCAAGATTAGGCCTTCCATATCTCGTCCAGAGCCAAACGTGCAATCACTCGACTCTTTACCTCAAATAATTTATGACCCCTACCGAAAGGCCAAATCTTGATGTTACCTCTCTCAGAGACCCCGAAGCCATATTATTTTAAAAAACAAATTCATACTTTTACCTTCTCAGGGACAACCGGTATTTTCAAAACATTACCTTTATCCAAATATATGACTTCAAAGTCACACTCCTGCCTTCTTAGATGCAAAACCAACCTCAATAAAACACAAGGTCCTTAAGAGCAATACATTAGTTTGAACGTGAACAATTCCTACAAGAGAAGCGAGATGACACATCATGGATCAACTTTATGAAGATAAGATTGAGTAAGTGGTCCATACCTGGAGAGATAGAAGAAAAAGAAATAAAGGGAATGGTTTAAATAATTCTATCATGCATTAATTGCGTTGTTTTCATGTAAATAAAAGTTAATCATGAATACTCATCCCCCTCGGGTTACCTCTTTTGTAAGGATTTTTGTGTATGAAAGGATGAAAGAGTTTGTTTCATTATCCCTTCACAAAAAGAAAAAATATATCCCTTGTTGTCCCCACTTGAGCCTAGAATTATTTTTTATTCAACCCTAACCAAGGATCACCCTCTACACTGGGGGTAAGATGAATGAAATATGCTCGCATGAGTGAAGACCATCAATCCAGATTTTATTACAAAGACAAGTCTCCGTGGAATAAAGTGAAAAATAATGAGGTACTGCAAGGTGGACCGAATGCAAAGTACTCGAATATCAAATAAAGATTAAAAAAAGAAATCAAGTCGAAAGTAACAAAGATGTTCCAAATACAAGACATAAATAAAGTTTAAATGGAAATAAAGAATTCTCAAAAGAAAGGGAATAAAGAATGTGTTCAAATAAAAAAGAAGTTCAAGAATCAACAATAAAGAGAACAAGAAGTACAAGCAAAATGTCACTCCAAATAAAATGACTCAATGATTCTCAGACCATAATGTTGATCAAGTAAAAAGATCCAAATTCAATAAAAAGGTCGTGAAATACCATATATTGAAGAATAAAGATGAACTCTAGGGTGAAAACCCACCAATGGACAGTCTAAAGGGATCCAGAAAAAGAAAGAAAATAAAAGACAAATTGTGAATAGATTCAAATAAGGCAAGACAAGATTAAAGACATTATAACGAATTCATCCTTGGTTTGATCACCCTTAAACACTTGTTTGGGCCTATTTATCCATTTCTTTCATAATCGTGAGCCTTGGCCTACGTTACGTGCCTGAAAAAGTCTCTTATAATCATACATTGATTTCTAAGTGGAAGAGACTATCTTCAAATTTCATTCTGCCTCTTAGGGTTAATATTTTGTTTGAAAAAATGGTTTTCTAAAATCTTTAATGCATGATAAGAAAAAAATAAAAGGGGGATAAAGATGTACATTTCAGATAACGTTTTGAAACCAAATGAAGATTTGAGTTGAAACCTCGTAAAGGCGGCTCGAATATAAAGATTTTGGAGCTATTGCATAATAAGATGTCTTATGCATTCCTTGATAAAGCACCATACCATTTGAAGATAGTCACCATAACCGAACCAGTGAAAATTTCAAAAGAGGAACGTAGTGATTATTTCATCAAAACACAAAATCTTAACTAAAGAAGCCAACCTGAAACACATTACCTCCTCAAATCAACCTGAAACACTCTACCTCCCCAAATCAACCTAAAATACTCCACATTCCCAAGTCAACCTAAGCCTTAAATCAACATTAATCTTTACACTTGTCAAATGGATATACTTTTTGAATGATTGAAAGAGAATTTGACCTATGTGATATTCAATAAACTCTAGTTTTATAATTTGTTTTTATTGTCAACCTGAAGAAAGTGGCAGCATTTTTAAAACTTATTCATCAAACTTTTTCACATTTTTGAAATTGAAAAAGGAAGAAAAACATTTTCAAAACAGCACAATCTTAAGTGAAAAATATCCTTAAAGCTAGTGAGGATCATTTTGACTCAAACAAAGAGATTATACATTGAATAAAGGTCAAAGGCAAGATTAATAAACGATACATGATAAACAAAGACATTCCCATATTCCTAAACAACAAGGTTCGAACAATCATAGGACTAAAAGTTAGAGTTTCTCACACTACTTTATGATGTTACCATTATCAATAATCAGTTAAAAAGTCGATGATCACCTAAATAACAGGGAGCATGATATCGAGAGATTTCCTAGTATTTCAAAGAAAAACATATATGTTAGAAAGATTTGATCACTTTTTGAGTTTCCATTTGGTTTTGATGCTTCACAAATAGAAGCCCTTAAACTACTTGATAGCACTTCTGTTAATGGAATGTGATTGTTGATTAGCAACACAAGAATGAGACCATTCGAGGTTAAGATATTTTGATACGATGAGAGCCATGAGCACCCACATTGGGCATTACCAATGCCAGACCATGTTGAGATAACAAGATTTAAATCAAGTAGACATTGGGGATGAGCCTCACTGCTTGGAGTCTTAGGGAAGGAATATGAAGACAATAAGAGTTTACCTTGGAAAGATAAACATTTCTAATTGAGCCATTGAATCAAGGACAGAAAAGGTGCCAAAACCATATGCTTACATGCAGGAAGAATTCTGAAAGAGCACTCCTCTTAAGACTGTAACGAAGAAACCAAAGATAAGAAGATAGAAAATTCATGATTGCAAAAGATGACCAGATCATTCCTTATAAGATATAAGCTTAAGCAGACAAGGTGCAACGTTGATATTGAGGCAGAATCCATTGAAAAGTGATCAAGTGAAGGAAGACTGAGTTCTCCACTTTGAAACCAAAAGAAGAATTGATTATAAACATTTTTCCATTGCATTTAGATACTATCCATTGCATTCACATTTCATGCATTAATGCATATTTTTATAGATGTTTTAAAGAAAAGAAAAGAGAGAAGAAAGAGCAAATTCAAGCCTTAAATGGAGGGAATTACATTCAGAGTGTCACAACCTCATGAATTGAGAAGTCAAATCCACAAAAGAATCATTACTTTGATGTGGGGTATGTTACCCGATCAATACAATGTTTTCAAATGAATTTTTAAAGAAGTTAAGTCTGGTTTTCAGTAGTTTCTTGATGATTAATTCAAATGAATTTTTAAAGAAGCTAAGTCTGATGTTCAGAGGTTTCTTGATTGGCATGATGTTTTCAAATGAATTTTTTAAAATGCTAAGCTTGATTTTTGAGGGTTTATTGATTATTACATAAAATGAATTTGTAAAGAAGCTAAGTTTGATTTTCAGAGGTTTCTTGATGATTACTTGATTGACATGATGTTTTCAAATGAATTTTTAAATAAGTTAAGCCTGATTTTCAGGGGTTTCTTGATGATTACTTCAAATGAATTTTTAAAGAAGCTAAGTATGATTTTCAGAGGTTTCTTGATGAGTACTTGATTGACATGATGTTTTCAAATTAATTTTTAAATAATCTAAGCCTGAGTTTAAGGGCTTGTTGATGATTACTGTAAATGAATTTTTGAAGAAACTAAGTTTGATTTTCAAAGGTTTATCGATGATAAGTCCTCCGGGCCATCTAATTTCATTTCGCTTGATTCCATCACATAAGGAGTTGGATCAGCATCAACATTTCGCTCGATTCTATCACATAAGGAGTTGGATCAGCATCAACTTTTTACTCTGTTCCATCACATAAGGAGTTGGACCAGAGTCACCATTTTGCTCAATTCCATCACAAAAGAGTTGGATTAACTTCACGTTTTTGCTAGATTACATCACAGAAAGAGGTGGAACAACATAATCATAGGAAGAAGTTCATATCGGAGAACTTGTTTGACCTCTACATGGCCTTTTTTTGGAAGACTACGCAGTTCATATAGGAGAACTCGTACAATCTTTCAAAATGAGGAGTCAATCATTTGAGATTAATTTTTAGTTGGAAAATAAGAAAAAAATGAAAGTTGAAAAGTTAAAAATACAAAAAATACAAAAAAAGGAGAAATAAATATATAAAAAATAAATTCTCAGATATGTTGTTAAGTGTCAATCTTTTGCAGGTCTATTATGCATGGGACTCGGGAAAATCAAATGGGAATAGGTCCAAATATACGGAGTAGATGATCGAGAGAAGGGTGGATAAGCAAACAGATTAGAAGCTCGAAGAAAGATATTGGTGCCAGAAAGACGGGGTTCTTCATAAGATTAAATTGGAGTATTCATAATTTCATGATGATAAATGGAGCAATGGGTCATGTTTCCCGATTAACTTGAATTCATTCGAACGGATTGGAGTTATTCATAATTTCATGATGAGAAATGGAGCAATGGGTCACGTTTCTCGATTAACTTGAATTCATTCGAATAGACCAACTGTAGTTTATTGGAAACAGAAAGGGGTATTTAGATTGTTTTAATTTGGTGGTTAGTTGGGGTTAAAGAATCAAAACCCATTTCTTTCAGTTTCATGAGAACAGCAAAGAAAAACCAAACCTTTAAAAGTCCATTTTCAAGTCCAATAACCCATTATACACAAGACCCAAATCCCATTTACATATCCCTTTTACAAAGCCCAACAGGCCCACGTGCAAACCCTAATCAGATTAAGGTTTCCACTAACCCTAGCGCCGCTTTCATTGTATCTGTTCGATCGAGGACAATCAACGGCCCTGTTTCCTCCACTAATTAGGTCTTTGGAAACCCTAGCCATGTAGCGCCTTCGCAGCTTCCAACAGAGGCCATTCAGCTTCCCCTTCTTCACGTGGGCCTCGACTCGTACTGCTGGTGGTCCCCTTTACCCATCGGCTTCAACCTGTGGTCCCTCTTTGATAGGAAAGCTTTTCCTTCAAGCTTTTCTTTTTTTTTTAACAACGTTTTTAGTATTCCGAATAAGAGACCGATTCAAACCCTTACAAAAACTCAACAAGAAGAACCATTTGAAGCAAAAACCAAAAATAGAACAAAAACTAGAGGGAAAGAAGAAACCTACCTTTCAATCGAACCACTGACCGACGTTTGGAGTCTTTATCGCCCAATCCAAGCAGTGAGGAGAAGCACATAAAGGAGGCGAACTACATAGCTCAGAGCCGAGGTGATCCAACAGTGGACGGTGGAGATCAGAGTGTTGGAAGCCGAGAGGTTCTAGGCCTATTTCGTGGAGTTATGGGTTGTTTCTCACAAAACTGTGCCCCAATATGAACTCCGAGCGTTGAGGTGATCCGATTGGTGTGATTTAGGCTCAAGTGACCACCGGAGACGGCGCCCGGCGCTCGGCGCGGCGGCAATACTGCGATCGACAGTGGGATTCTCGCCCGACTTTGGGGAGGTTTAGAGAGAGAGGAGAACTTTGGAGGGATGAGAGAGAGTAAAGAACCAAAATTGAGAAAATGAAGGAGATGGGACTGTTTTATATTCCAACCGAACGACACCATTTTACCCCCTTCCCGCGCGTTTTGGATACCATGGGTCTAATCACGCTCGTGTTCATCTTTAGTTTTTATCGTGTTCAATTTGGTCACTCATTTTATGATTAATTTCTTAATTAATTTGGATTTTGTCCTAGTTTTGTATTTATCATTTTTATGTATTAATGCTAACATTTTAGTTTATTTTCGCTCAGGTCGCTGCACTTTTAGCATTATTTTCGATTTTGGTCACCTGTATGTGCTTATTTTATTTTTAATTTGAAGTGTATGTCCTTAGGATGTAGTTTTACATCTTTGCGTTTCATTAATTATTCTGATTTAAATTTATGGTTTATTTATGTTTAGATCCCCTACTTTCGCGTGAATCTACATTCTATTCACTGTTCCATGTATTGATTTGTTTCAATTTTGATTTCAATCTAGTCTTCGTTCTTTTTTATTTTATTTAAATTTGATCCCTAAATTTTTATTTTGGGTTACATTTTTGTCATTTAATTTTATATACTTTAATTCATGCCTTTAAAATTTCCAACATTTACATTTCAGTCTTTTTTTTTTTAATTTCAGCATTATTTTTCTGTTTGCTCCTTATTTGTTTATGCTTTATATTATGTTGTATTTAATTTTAGCCCTTCATGGTTTTTTTAGTTTTGTTTCATTTTCATTTTGGTCCTCACACTTTATATTCATATATATTTTTGCATATGTTATTATTTAATACGTTCAATAAATAGAGGCGGTGTCTTTTTATATGGGAAATCTATGAAAAAGTCTCCCATATATAAGGGGAGTGCGTTTCCGAGGATTGATCATACAAAAGGACATTCCTTTATATGGGTAATCTATGGAAAAGTTTATCAAATACAAAGGAAGTGTGTTTCCGATGATTGTTAGTATAAAAAGACTTCCTTTTTATTTTATTTCTGGATCATAATTTAAATATCACTCATATTTACAATTTTCAAAACTAGAGATGATGTATAATCGAATAGTTATCGATTAAGGGAGTTGTGGGGTATTCATCATTCCCCACACGTAATAGACTCCGGAACCATTTTCAAAATGAATTTATAGTTAAACGCAAGCTGATTTTTTTCTTTTAACTTTATTTTTCTTAAAATTATTTTAAAAGACATTTTTATGTATTCGACCTACCTAGCCCAAGGTTGATGATAACTCTAAAACATTTCTTTCCCAAACCCCGATCATTTTAAAATCAAGTTCGTTCAATCCCCATTCCAGCTCCCCATAACGCTTAAGGATCGTTCCGACATTTAGATATTAAAATTTTATATAAAGAAAAGCATTATAAATTTATACTAAATTTCAAATAAATTACAGGTAAAACAATTATATATTCAAGTAAACATTATAAAAAGAAAATTATTTTATATCCAATAAAATCTTTAAATGATCATTTATTTATTTTCATAACACAATTTTTTTGAGACCGAATGAAAAACATTTTTCCATCATGATTTTAATAATGATAAAGGAATCTTTAGCACTATTTATACTGCTGAAAAATGCTTATCCCACTCTACGAAACGCACTCTTTATCTAAACCGCAAATTGATTCATAAATCGACAATTGGCAGATTATAAATTTCTGATTTTTTATGTAAGTCGCGTGATTAAATATTTTTTTTGGTTACAAAAAGAAAAGCTTAAAATACTGTAAAGAAAAAGTCTCTAGGGAAAGATACATCTCTCCTATCAACTTCTAACATCCGAGAAACTTCAGCCGGTGGTGCACTAAAGATCACAAGATCATCTTCCAGGAAGCACCAAAGTCTGGAGAGTATATCGGCACATAAATTGCCTTCGCGGTGGATATGTTGAAACGTTAGTATCCTGTTACGAGCTTTAAAACTTCTGATGTCCTCAATTAGGGACCCCAACGGGTGTGAGGAGCTATGACAATTGTTGATAAGGTTGAGAGTAAGTTGTGAACCAACTTCACAAACAAAACAGCCATATCCATATTTCCATGCTAGAGAAAGACCCATCCGAATGGCAAAAAGTTTCGCCGCTACGTTTGTGCAAATCCTCAAGTGAGCAGCAAAACCCATAACCCATGCACCATTTTCGTCTCTAAGCAAGCCGCCAGCTCCTGCAACTCCCGGATTGCCTTGGCTCGCTCCATTAGTATTGAGCGTTAGGTAGATGCTTGAGGGTGGTGACCAATGTGTCACGGACATAACGTCTAGATCCTGTTGTTATGTCGTGCGGCACTTGAATGAGACAACTCCCACACAAGTCAACCTTTCCCATCATAGATCCATGCCTCGAATTAACTCTTCATCAAGCCAAGTCGCAATGGCTAACAATCACCCCTCAGTTCGCTAGGCAATCCCACAGTATCCTGTCCGAACAAACAAGCCACACATTAGTCTCTCGCCACAATATAATTTCAAAACCACAAGTACTCTAGGAGGGGAAATCCCACAGGGCATAGCGAATGCTAGTTGACAACCCCTCTCCTCAACCAAGAGCGCGATATGGGGCCCACTGGCCCCAAACCGTCCCTAGGTATCATCCTAGAGAGACACCGTACCATCCACTTGGTCCCGATGCCCGCACACCTAGGTTCCTCATGAACCTAGTTGAAGGTTGCTTACACCATGGTAGCTCCACATGCTAGCTCAGGGTGAGGGGGATGGTGGAGACCCAACACCAGATCAATTCCCCCTAAAGAGCTAAATAAACTTACCATCCATGACACCAGTACACGTTGGAATGTTTGAATTGAGGCCATTACCTTGACAGCCCTCCTTCTTCATTCTTCAAGCTTTTCCTTGTGTCCCAGTTGCAACCTACTCGGCCCACCATCGGGTTACGGTCGGGGTAATCTCATGGAAATGAGATGTCCACGACATTCTCCCCCACTCACTTTGGTCAATGTCCTCATCGATACTAAAACCATATCTAGTTAACTTGTTGCATAGTATTGTCCCTTCTCATGAGGTCCATCTCTTGCCCTCAAGAACTAAGATCACGATTCGTTCCACGGGACACTAAACTCAAAACTTTGGGTACCCACCTACCTCTATTTTTCTCTCATTGCCATTGAGCTTGTTCTCTCTAAGGATATAACCTTGAGGAGCCATCGTGGTTACGTCTAACATGTTGAACACCATCACATATTCTAAACCATATGACATATCACTTGGTGTGTTACCCTTTTACTTACCTATCACTTTGTGGCATCTTAAATAATGTGTCACACATGACACGATCCAGGTAATCAATCACGAGGTACCATATTAGCTCAAAACATATGGGCATTCAATTATGTTAGACATGTCCCAACTCAAGTCCTCTCGGTCCTTTGTAAACACTATACCTAAACTTTGTTCACCTGGCTCACGATTGCTCACTTGCAACATCCTAGACAAAGGATAAAGGCTCACCCACTTCCTCAACAAAGAATAATGGCTCCCCCACTTTTATTCTTGTTCGAACCCTACTTAATAGTAACGATATACCTGCTCAAACACTAAAACACCACTAGCCCAATAATTATAATACGACTTCCAATACACCATTTCAAAAAACATTAGCTAATAAATATAACACAAATCTACATACTTCATCTCAAGATACCAAAGTACCTTAAGTTTATCATTCTCTATGATTCTCACTTATTGACACCATGCCAAGTGCTTTACCAGGTCCAAACCATTCTTTTCAAATATGTATCTTGCACCTCCATCTTCTCCCCCACACATTCTCACGACTTGTACACTCAATGCACCCATGCATGCCTCGATCTTTGCATTCTTCTTAACAATCGGATACGATCCTGATCCCTTCCAGGAAAGTGCTAAACATCATTACATCATCCAGGTAGATGACTAGGAACTTGTCAAGGCAGCCATGGAACACCGAGTCACACAAGTCAGTTCCGGTTGATCCCCTTGGGCCATCATCACCTGATAGTATTCTGATATGAGATTAACTTTGTGGAATACTTGGCACTATTCCGCTGGTCAAATAAATCATGATTCCTTTTGGACAACACTGATGCCCAAAAGGCGACTTTGAGGGTCGAAAGAAATCTGGCTTGAAGCAACCCATCCCACTACTTTTCTAACTTAGCCATCTCTTGTAGTACTTGCCCGAGAAAGGCCACTTCACATGAGGTTGTACTTCCGTGATTAACTCATTCTCATGGTCCACCTGCCAGAAATGACATCCTCCTTGGAAACTAGAAAGGTTAAGAATAAAGGCTCACCTTCTTCCCTCTTTTATCAAACTTGATAGCTGATAGTACTTTATTCCCGGGAAACATATAAGAATCGTAGTGGCCATAAACATGGTTGTTTCCCATGCACATAAAATAATTTGACGCAGAGAGAGAAATCATCAGGAATGCTATCATGCTTCATGGAATTTTCCCTACAACCAATAAAATGTTAGGCAATATTCTATTGACACAATTACCTCTTTGGACCTTTCCCCCCGAACTCATCGTATTAGCCATATAAATGGTCGGTCAGCATGAATAGCCAATTTCAACATCTATAGTGATCCATTTGATCCTAGCCAACATCCAGCCTTTGACAATTCGATGATTTTCTCAGAACCTAGTGAGCATCAATGTTCTCAAAAGAATAAGCATCCTACACAAAATACATAAATTAGGCATCATATTGCCACAAGGAATAAGAATCGATGGATATAGATTAAAAAGCAACATCCCTTGAACAATCAATACCGAACACCCTATACGAACATCTAACGAGCACCTCCGTGCCAAAACAAGATTGGCTCTTATGTAGATATCACACAAGTATCTTTGTGCTAAAGAACATGCACCCATGTGATAATAATATAGTGACGCGGTCTTACGCGAGCTTCACAAATTGAGCCTCTCTATACAAGACCAAGTTGTTTCACCATTCCTGTTCCACACGTTAGAGGGCTTAGGGTAAGA